AGAGCACAGGCCAGGCCAGGCCCCTTCACGTCTGCTGCACAGGACTTGGCCCTAGCACTGCCACGTGTGTGCCCACCTGCCCGGCAGTGTGGCAGCCCCGCCTGCCGGAGCCACGGCCACGCACGGACACCTCCAGGGGACAAGCCTGCCAGCGGTGTGGGCCTCACGGGCGGCCTGGCTGCAGGGTCTCGGCCCTGGCCTGCTCAGAGCAGGCCACAGCTGACACGCGAGCTGGACCCGTGCCCCGGCTCCTAGGGCCACGCGTGCCCAGCGCAAACGCGGGATGGCACACCAGGTCTGTCCAGCACCCGCACCCACCTGTTCCTCCCCCAAGCCCCGGAGCACCGAGATGGGCACCAAGTGCGGCTGTAAGTGACCCCGGGTGGGCAAGAGCACCATCGGGGGACACAGGAGGAGGGGCCAGCAGGCAGGGCCCACAGGGGCACCCTCAGGCGACACGGGGGCAGGGGACCCCAGTGCTGCTCATCAGCCCATCTCCGGCCCTCAGCACCGCCTCCAACTGTCCACTGCCACTGGGCAGCGGGTCTGTGAAGGAAGCGGGGTCACGAGCGCCCCCCTGTGGGAGCAGAGGAAGAGGGCAGTCTGTCTGCAGGGGGGGACCCTCAGCCTGAGGTCAGGGGGAGGGGCAGGGAACCTGGGCTGGTGGCCGCACCTGGGCCAGATTCTTCCAGACCAGGCCTGGTCAGGGTGGAAGCCCCCACACCTAGAGGCTGGGGGAACCCCCGTCACGCAGGGTGGGCCACCCAGCCACAGAGGCTGCTCAGCGCCAGTCAGACAGACCCACACCACTGACTGTGCTCCCTCCCGAGTGGTGCTCCCTCTCCTGGGTCGTGCTCCCTGCCCCCGGCGGTGCTCCCTCCCGTGGGCGGCATTCCCTCTGTGGTCAGAGTTCCCTCCCACGTGATGCTCCCTCCCCAGGCTGTGCTCCCTGCCCCCGGCGGTGCTCCTTCCCCCACAGTGCTCCCTCCCTTGGGCATTACTCCCTCTGTGGGCGATGCTCCCTTTGGAGTGATGCTCCCTCAGGAGTGGTGCTCCCTACCGAGTGATGCTCCCTCCCTGGGCTATGGCCCCAGAGGGTGAGCAGAGCCGATGACATGTTCGGGGTGTCACGGCTGACAGCCACAGCCCACAGGACACACTCCTCATGCTGCCCGACCTGAAGGCTGTCACACCGGGCACCATGGTGTGAGCAGAGGGCAGCAGGCAGAGTGGGCCCAACCCTGTCACCAGCACTTGCCACCCCCTGACGACGCGCTTAGTCGTCCCAGGGAGAAGCACTGTCCCGGGAGCTGCGGCCTTGGGGGCGGGGGAGGTGACTTCTGCCTCTGGAGCAAGACAGTCGGAGAGGCCAGGCAGAGCCCGGGAGGTATGAGTGGCACTGCAGGGCCGGAGCTGGAGGACACGGGCGGCTATGACCGGGACAAGCCCAGGCACTGGGCAGCCCCCAGGAGCCCCTGGGAGACCAGACCCCGCCCCCGCCCCCTGCACTCCCAGGCAGGGTCTGAGCAGTGCCAGAACCTGGAGGTGACCCAAGTGGGGACTGTGACACCTGTGTGTGTGCGTGTGTGTGCGTGTGTGTGCACATGTGTGTGTGCGCGCGTCTCTACGTGTTTGTGAGTCTCTTTGTGTGTGTGTCTCTACGTGTCTGTGAGTCTGTACGCCTGGGTCTGCCCACTCCGACCAGGAGGAAGGACTGAGATCTCACAGCACTGGGGAACCCCAGGCTCTCTCCTCACTCAGCTGAACCCCGCGGACGGAGCAAACGAGAAATGCTCCAGGGACCCTGGCCACGGGGACCCGCCACGGGAGGAGCCGCGTGTCTCGCCACAGTGCTGTCATCTTGGGGATCGGGGCCCGCGGGAGGGCAGGGACCCCACGACTATGCCGGGGCAGATGAGCTGCAGCTCCGAGGGGCCACAGACTCGGGCGGCCTGGACATGACCTTCACCCGCACATGCCGTTGAGCCACTGAATGTGACGCACTGGGCAGGTGGCTGGAGACGAGTTGGGTCCAGAGGGAAGGTCCCCCAGCCCGGCTCCGTGCTGCTGCATGTGGAGCTCAGCTGCCAGCCCCAGGCGGAGAGGCCGCCAGACCAGGCCTCGGGGCTGCCCTCCTGGGCCCGGCTGGTCCCTGTGGGCTTCCTACATCTCCCTGGCTGAGTGCCTGCTTCTGAATCAGGGAGCCAGCCTGCAGCCTGCCCTAGGGGCCCTGGCCTGGGACTCCCACGGCACCCTGCTGGGCCCCATGGGCAGCAGTGACCTCCCCACTGCTGGAGGGAAGGCGGCACACCAGAGCCCCAGGCCTCTCCCTGCCAAAGCAGGCACACATGCAGGGTCTGACCCGCAGTCTTGCGCCTCTGGGGCGGCAGGCCAGGCCAGCTGTGGCTGAGCAGAGCCACAGCCAGGCCACCACGGGCAGCATGCACATGAACAGTGCCGGCAGGGGCGGAGGCATCTTCCCCCACACGCCTGGCCTGGCCGTACCCCTTCACGGGACAGTTCCCTTCAGAGAGGGCCACCAGCGGTGGCACAGGCTGCTCTGCCCTGACAGGGTGAGATGCATCCCAGGAAGCCAAAGTCCAACATGCAGACCAGTAGGAGCGGGCAGCAGGGTCCAGACCAAAGGACACGTGTCAAGTCCCAACACCAACGCTGCCCAGCCCAGCTCACCGTGGGGTGCCTGTCGGAGAAAGGACCCTGCAGCCTACACGGCTCAGGCCAGAGCGCCAGGAGGCAGCCCCACTCCCACGAGACCACCTCCGAGACCCCCATGGGGAGACCCCGGGGACGAGCCTGCAACGGAGGCGACAGAGATGCTCCGTGAAGCCCAGGGGCAACTCACGAGCAGTCCGCAGGCCCTTCAAGGCAGCACGCTCCAACACCCGAACCCAGACTTCGTGGGAGGCAACACCTGCCCAAAGGGGACTCCCTCCCCCATGATTCCCTGCACAAATGGGAATCACAGGGAGGGTGACGGCAACCGGAACCCTCAGGACTCGCTGAGACGCAGTTAACGGGAATGGGAAGGGTAGAACCAGCTAGAACCCTGATCGCAGACAGAGAACTGGGTTGTACAGTGAATGAGCCCAGGGCCTACAGCGTAGCTGAGCCCAGGACCTACAGCATGACTGAGCCTGGGGCTTACAGAGTGACTGAGTCCAGGGCCTACAGCATGACTGTGCCCAGGGTCTACAGAGTGACTGAGCCCGGGACCTACAGCGTGACTGAGCCCGCGGCTTTACATAGTGACTGAGCCCGGAGCCCTACAGCGTGACTGATCCCGGAGCCTACAGCGTGACTGAGTCGGGGGCCTCCAGCGTGACTGAGCCCGGGACCTACAGCATGACCGAGCCCAGGGCCCTACAGAGTGACTGAACCTGGGCTTACAGAGTGACTGAGCCCAGAGCCTACAGCGTGACTGAACCCAGGGCCTACAGCATGACTGAGCCCGGGGCCCTACAGCGTGACTGAGACCGAGGCCCTAGAGTCTGACTGAGCCCAGAGCCTACAGCGTGACTGATCCCAGGGCCTAAAGTGTGACTGAGCCCGGGGCCTACAGTGTGACCTATATGAACCTATGGGCTGGACCTACAGTTTTTATTACTTTAGGTGAATCTCATCAGGAAACCATAGCACAAGGGTCATCCCAGACATTATTTTTCCTTCCAGGCAAGGAAAATAAAATGTGTTTCTGCCTACTGAGGGTAGCAGATAAGAACAGTCGTGGCTGGAGGTGATGCAGGGCAGTCTGACTGTACAGGCCAGCCAACAGCACAGAAAGAATGAGTGAACGGAGCACTGTGGAGCTCAGGTACCGCTGGTACCTGAGACGGTCCAGGTGATCAGACAACGCTGGGCAGCTGTGGGAGGGCCCCAACTTCTAAGGCCCAGCAACAAGGCCCAGGGAGCCGCAAAGGACAGAGTGCAGGAAGTCCTCGTGAAGGGTCTTGGGGGTTATCTGGCCACACGCAGTGATGGGACACACAAAGCAGCCAGGGAGCCCTGGGAGAGGGGACAAGTGGACAGGCACACGGACAGGTGAGCCCCCGTGAGGGGCAGTCAGGTGAAGTGAGACAATGTGTCAGAGCCAGTGTCTCCACGGGAGTCTGCATGGGGACAAGTGAGTCCCCGGGACAGAGGCTACCTGGGGACAGGTGAGTCTCCGGGACAGAGTCTGCATGGGGACAGGTGAGTCCTCGGGATGGAGTGTGACATGGGGACAGGTGAGTCCCCGGGACGGAGTCTGACACGGGTACAGGTGAGTCCCTGGGGAATAGAGTCTGCATGGGGACAGGTGAGTCTCTGGGACGGAGGCTACACAGGGACAGGTGAGTCACTCTCAGGAAGGAGTCTGGCATGGGGTGAGGTGCAATGCCCCCGGAAAGAGTCCAGCACAGGGGCAATGACCCGGGAAGGAATGAGGCACAGACAGGCGACTCCCCTGGTGGCCCCGCACAGCCCCATATGGAGGCAGCCTGGCCCCAGGCCCGCCCACCCCACCTCCCTGGCTCCGGGTCTGCGCTGCCTACACAGGTGCGTGTGTGGGTCCTGCCTGCCCTTGCGGGCACCTGCCAGGCACCAGAGAGCCGTTCCCACACTGCCCGGTCTATCACGGACATGGGCACGGAGACCAGGAAGGGGGAAGGCAGGCTCCCTTGCGGGAAGCTCTACCCCGACTGCACGCCTCCTCCAGGGACGCAGCTCCAGGGCACACTTTTGGGGTTCCTCTCCGCGGCCAGTTGCCCAAGCTCTCCCGCCCGCCAACCGGGGCCCTCGCAGGACCTGTGTCCCGGGCTGCCGGCGACAAAGGGCCCTGGTGTCCCCCGGCCCGCCGGCCGCGGTCTCGCTCCGGCCTTCCCGGGGGGCGGCCGGCAGCCCCGCAGGAGGGGTCTCCTGCAGGTGCCCGCACAGGGAGCCCAACTTCCCCCGGGGACACTCCCATCCCGCCCCGGGCAGGCGCCGCAGGTGCCCGCACTCACGTATCTGTGCACCAGCGTCCGCACGAGGCCGCAGTCCATGGCTCCTCTGCGCCCATGGGCCGGGGCGCGCGCGGGGGCTGGGGGGCGGCCGGCCGGCGCTCATGCCCCGCGCGCACCGCGGCCGGGTCGCTGGCGGCCTGTGCCCGCGGCTGCCGCCTCCCGCGCCGCCCGCCCGCGCGCGTCACGGCGCGAGTGAGCATGCCCGGCCCCGCCCGCCGCCGGCCCGCCCGCCCCGGCCAGGGAGGGGCCGGCAGGTGCGCGCGGCGGGGCGGCCTGGGTGCGGCGAGGGGCTCAGTCCGCCGCCGACCCCTGCGCTCCAGGGCCGCCCCTGGAAGCAGAGCCCTGCCCTGCCCGTGCGCAGGCCGCCAGCACAGCCTCGTTCCCGGAGCACCCGTGCTCCCCAATCCCCACCCACCTGGGCCTGAACAGTGGCCACTGCTCTGCTCAGAGGGTCAGTCCCCCCGGTCACGGGGCCAGGGCATCGCGGGCGTTGCAGCGGGCACACGATTGGCCCCCTCTGCCTCTCCAGACCCCGAGGAGCCGGCGGAGGGTCCGAGGCTCCCCACTGTCACCCGCTCCTGAGTCCCACACAGAGTCCCAGGGGGACCCTCGGTGCCTTCCTCTTCCTGGGCCTCCGCCCGGGTCTGCCCGGTCAGAGGTCAGCCCTCAGCTGGGCCCCAGGGCAGCACAGGCACAGCCCCCAGGAGAGCCGGCCCGGCCCTGCAGACATCCCTTGGACCTCAGCCAGCAGTGCCAGCCTCACTGGGCAGCATGCCTGGGAAAGAGGGGTTGCCCACGGCGTTACGTGCCCTGTGGCCTCAGGGGCCCCCATCCATGCCCCGTCCCCTCAGTTCAAGCCTGTCGATCCTTCAGAAGGTGCATGGAAGGAAAAGTTCCCCCTTCCTGCGGGGGGTCTGGGTGTGATGGCAGTTTTGGGCAGCCCTTTTGCGCCTGCAACAGCAGGTGGCCTGAGGAACGTGGTCCGGGGGTGCCACCAGCTGTGCCTTGGGCGTCCATAGGCCCTGCTGCTGTCTGGCCACGGGTGCCAGGGCCTGTGCTCAGTCCCCTGACTGGGCTGGAGTTTGCATCGCTGGCACTAACAACATCGAAGGTGAAGCCAGGGGCCAGATATCTTGGCTCTCTCTGCCAAAGCCCCCAATTCAGCTAGCTTGTGAGGGGCCCCGTCTCTCTGAGTTATGAGCCACTGCCAACGGGGGAGCTCACACAGGAGGCCCGTCTGCTGGCTGGGTCTACACAGTGTGCGTCTGCATCGCGGGGCACCCAGGAACCTGTAGGAAGAACGTCTTGCTCAGCACTTAGCAGCCTCACCTGCCTCCAAGGACAACTCCCAGGAGGCTCAACGGGAATGCCGGAGCCCCTGAAGACCTGCATTCGGGAGTTCTGGAGGCTTCCTGCCACCACGCCCTTTGGAAGAACCGTCCTGGACTTGGGGAGCAGGGGCCAGACCTGACTCCTGTTTCTTTGGTTGGTTTTGGTCTTTTTTTGAGTGTGTGTGGGGGGGGGGGGGCGGGGGTTGTACCGGGCAGTGTTCATGGCTTACCCCTGGCTCAGCACTCAGGGATGCTCCCGGCTGGCCTCAGAGACCCCACGGGATGTCAGGGATAGAACCCTGGTCGGCCGCATGCAAGGCCAGCCCCTCTCCGCTGGACGGCCCCTCAGCCCCTGACGGGACTCATGGGAGTGGTTGGGGCATACTCCTAGGAGGGAGCCTGGCGAGGGTCATCGGGGTGCCCGCAGAGTCTGAGTGGATGCGGGTAACTGCCCCGAAACTTAGGGCGTCGTCCCCACGCGCAGCCCGGTGATTGGACCGCTGGGTCAGGCGCCCGCTCAGAGCGGGGGTGGTGGGCCAGTGCCCGCCCCCGAGTAGGATGCATGGGAGGGTCAGTGGGAACAGCTGCCTGCGTCCCAGCTGGGGCCTCTGTGCCGGGCGGGGTGGTGGCCACCCATGGCCTCTCACCTGGGGCCCACACCTGCACCCTCTGCCCTTGAGAAATGGGGTGCTGCACCTGTCCTCGGGCAGAGGCTGCAGGGACATGGGAAGGGGAGGCGTCATCCTTACCGGGACCTGGAGGCACTGCTGAGGTGGACAGTGGCCTCAGCGAGGGCTGGTCCACGGAGGACACATGGTGGGGATGGATGCCTGGGGCGTGGTTGGTCGCCGGGCCCTGGGCAGGAACAGTGTGGCCGTTTCCCCGGATTCCCACTACGTCTCGGCCTCTGCAGTGTCTGGACGCTCCTTGGGGCCTGCCGGGGCCTTGGGGTCCCCCGGCATCTCTCCTGCCTCCCCCACCTCACCTCTGCCCAGAGAGTCGCCTGATGGGATTCTCGCCCCCTGCTCACCACCACCTGCCTCGTCCAGGGCATGGGGCCAGAGAGGCCCCTCCTTCCTGGCCTCTCAGAGAGCGAAGTGGGCTTGTGAGGGGTTGTGGGGCATAGAGAGCCCCCGGTGCCCTCCCCTCCCGCCCCATCACCCCCAGCTGTGCCCGCCCCTGCAGCTCAGCGCCTCGGGAGTGGCTCTCACTGCTGCCAGCTGGGCTCGGGGTGTTCCCCTGACTTGTGGCTGTGGGGGGCAGCTGTCCCAGCAGAGAGGCAGAGCAGCCTGGTGACATCATCTAACTGCACGCGGGCCCTGATGCATGCACAGGAGGGGGAACGCATGCGGCCCTCCTAAGCCGGCCGCTAAGTTTGCCAATTAGTTTTCTTTTTGCCTTTTCTTTTGCTTTTTTGGGGGGTCACACCTGGCTCATGCACTCAGGAATTATTCCTGGCGGTGCTCGGGGGACCCTATGGGATGCTGGGAATTGAACCCGCGTCGGCCACATGCAAGGCAAACGCCCTGCCCGCTGAGCTCTCACTCCAGCCCCTGCCAATTACCTTTTAAGGGAAAGGCCACACCAACTGCGTGTGTGGATTTCTTTACAGGACCACACTTGGATGAAAAGACTCATGAGGGGAGGGGCACGACCCCCAGGCAGGGTCTTACTCTGCATTGTCCCGAGACGAGTCTGTGCTACCAACCTCATGGGTCCCCAGGGTTCCGGCGGGGCCAGCAGGACAGTTGGGCACCGCACCTCCTCTCAGCTGTCTCAGCAAGGCCAAGGCCCGAGCTCTGGGTGGAGCCTTCAGCGGGGGCTCCGTCCCAACCCCCCACTGGGCCCCCAGTGCCCACGAGCCCCCGCCGCGTGCGGCCCCCAGGCCCCTGGGGCTGGAGGGGAAAATTAATTCTTTTACCCCGACTGGTAATTAGAACTTCAATTAAAATGTCATCAAGCACAGCCTGTGTTCCACGTGTGCAATTCGAAACGCCGCCACCCCTGGGTGACGCAGCTCCGGGGCCTCCCGCCCTCGAACTCTCCGAGGAGCCCCGAGTCCCGGCCCTGCTCTGCGGGCAGGAAAGGCTGCACGGTGTTGAGGGCACCCCCAGCCTGGGCAGAGAGTGGGGTCTGACGTGCTGCAGCGGCTGCCTGGGCGCTTGTTCTCTCCCAGGTTTCCTGTAAACTGAGCCAGGAGGGAAAATTGCTGAGCAGGGCATCCCTGAGGCGGGACCGCGGGACGAATGGCGCCAGGGAGGCTGCCTTGGCCCCCCAGGGCTCTGGGGCTCTGCCCTTCTGGGACCCGGGACAGGGATCCGGCCTCTGCTGTGTCCTCCTCTCCCCTCCACCTCTTTCCCCCAACCCACTTGTTGGGTTTGGGCCCCAAGGCCCCATGAGTTGGGAGGGTGGACAGGTGGCCCATCTCAGCGGCCCTGACCCTGGAGGTGGCCCTGTGAGGTGGTGGCAGGGGAGAGGGTGTCCGTGGATGGATGTGGCCTGTGGCAGGGTTTGTGAGGGAGTGCGGCCTAAGGTGGGTCAGTGGCGAGTACGGTCCAGGGTGGGGTCTGCAGTGTGGCCCGTGGCAGGGTTGGTAGGAGAGAGTGGCCCGCGGTGGGGTCTGTGGTGAGTGTGATCTGGGGTGAGGTCCGTGGTGGAGTAGTGAGTGGATCGTGGTGCGATCCATGGCGGGGTCCGTGGGTGGCGTGGCCTGTGGTGGGGTCCGTAGGTGACGTGGCCCGCTGCAGGGTTCATGGCAGGGTCTGTGGTGAGTGTGATCTGTGGCGGGGTCTGTGGTGGAGTCCCTGGGTGGCGTGGCCCGTGGCGGGGTGCGTGGCAGGGTCTGTGGTGGGTATGACTGGTGGCGGGGGTCTGTGGGTGGTGTGGGCCGTGGTGGGCTCCGTGGGCAGGCAGAGGGCATCGCGGCTTTTCCTGCTTGTCCTGCTGTGCATGTGAGATCGATTGGGCCGACTCACCGATGACCCTGGGAGGCTAATGGCCTCGGCCACTGCTGTACCTGGGCACTTAGCACTGCTCAGGCCTATTTTTGAACACCGGTGTTTGTTACCATACAATTACGAACAATTTTACTCTCTGGGTTGTTATTCTAACGAGGATGATCCTGTTACTCGCTTGATGGTGCTGCATTAACTCTGGGCTATTGATTAGTGCTGATTGCCTGCCCGAGTGACCCTCGCCTCCCAGCCCCGACTCCTTCTCCTCAGGACCCCCGAGACGCAGCGGGCATGCGGGTGACCCCTTTCCGCGGTCCAGCTGTGCACACGGCGTCCCTGCTGGGCGGAGGGGAACAGAAGCTGCGGGAGCCCCGGAGGGAGCCACGCCCCAGTGCCACCCCAGGCAGCCAGGTGCCCCTCGGGAGAGGGCGCTGGGTGGGTTCAGGGGGCCCCAGTCCCACTGGCCCAGTGGGGCACACAGCACCCAGGACTCTGGCTCCCGACAGCTCGTGTCTTCAGGGGCCTCACCCTTGCGACCCGGCTGCCAGTGCTGCCCAGGGCTCCCCCACTTGCCCCCCACCCCCCGTACTCTCGGGAGCTCAGCTGGCCGGGCCAGGGATGCTGGCCGGGCCGGGGATGAGGCGCTCTGTGGACAGGGCGGGGGGGGGGGGGAGGCGCACCATGGGCTGGGGGCATGGGCTGGGGAGAGTGCACTCTGAGGAGGTCGTGGACTGTGGGGGCTGGGGGCGTGGGGCTCCGTGGCCGTCCCCTCCCTGTGGGCAGTGTGTGGGCTGAGTGGGTGCAGAGGCCTTTTCCTGCCCCGGGGAGGTGTCTTTCTCCTCAGGCGCCTGTGTGGGCCC